TTAGATAGATAATGCATGTGAGGTATTATATGCCCCATTGTGAACATCAGATCAAAAAGGGCAAAAATAATTCTAACACTAGACGCCCCCTCCTCTGTGTGCAAATCTTGAAATGTAAACAGCGGTTGCACCATGCATTTTAACATCAGATCAAGGGCTTTCTAAACTAGACCTCCTCTGTAAATCTAAAATGGTAGCTTTTAAAGGCTTTTAAAGTGTTGCCTATGGATATTAAAAATGTTTGCAGTTTGTCGCCATTGCACGGGGCATGCACACTTTTAAAGCATGTCATGTTTGGTATCTATTTACTCGGCATACCATTATCTTTTATATCTTACCAAATAATTGGCCAATATATTGTGTTTTTGTGCATTAAAAGTAAAAAAAGTGTATTTTTTTTTTTTTTTAATTTGCTTTTGAAAAATCTCTGCGCGAGTACTATGTGCCATAAAAAATTGTAGTACCCACCATTGTATTCACTAGGGTGTCTGGTTTAAAAAAATATATAATGTTTGGGGGTTAAAATTAATTTCCAAGCAAAAAATACAGATTTTATTCATGTGAACAAAAAGTGTCAGAAAAGGCTTGGTCTTCAGGTGGTTAGAAGAGTGACTGATGTGTGGCATAAACTTCTAATGCTGGGCATAGAATGCCCCCACCCCCCAAAACGACCCCTTTTTGGAAAGTAGACACCCCAAACTATTTGCTGAGAGGCATTTTGAATCAATAGAAGAATTTATTTTTTACCACAAATTTTTGGAAAATTACAAAAAAAAAAATATTTTTTTTTACACAAAATTGTCACTTAAATGATTTACTGCTCACACATGCCATGGGTATATGTGGAATTACTCCCTAAATAAATTCTGCTACTTCTCCCGAGTATGGGGGTACCACATGTGAGAGACGTTTTGGCAGTCTAGCCAAGTACAGGACCCCAAAATCCGATAAGCTCCTTCAGGCTTTTAAAGGGCTTTATTTCCTCATTACACTTCCAGACTACCTATCACAGTTTCGGAGGCCCTGAAATGCCAAGATAGCACCTAACCCCCCTAAATGACCCCTTTTTGGAAAGTAGACACCCCAAGGAATTTGATAAATAGCACGGTAAGTATTTTGAAGATCTCATTTGTTGCCACAAGTTTTTGGAAAATGAAGAAAAAAAACAAAAACATTTTTTCTTTTCTTTTTTTTTATATTTCAAAACCTTGTGAGAAAAAATGAGAAATACTCACCATGCCACTTTTTAAATTCCTTGGGGTGTCTTTCCAGAAAGGGGTCATTTGGGGGGGGGGGGGGGCTTTGGGGCTTTCCTGGTATGTCAGGGCCTTCAAAACTGTGATAGGTAGTGAGGAAGTGTAATGAGGAAGTTACGCACCTTCAGGCTTTCAAAGTGGTCATTGGATTTCGGGCTCCTGTATGTGGCTAGGCTCCCAAAAGGTCTCACACACGTGGTATCCCCATACTCGGTAGAAGTAGCAGAATGTATTTTGGGGTGTAATTCCACATATACCCATGGCTTGTGCGAGAAATAAATAATTTAAATGACAACTTCGTGTAAAAAAAAAAAAAAAAAAAAAAAAAAATCATTCCATGTTTTTGTCATTTTCCAGAAACTTGCAGAAAAAAAATAAATCTTCCATGGACTCAATATGCCTCTCAGCAGATAGCTTAGGGTGTCTACTTTCTTAAAAGGGGTAATTTGAGGGTGTTTGTACTATCTTGGTATTTTAGCACCTCAAGAAATGTGATGGGCAGTCGGAAAGTAAATGCTGTGTAAATTCCATTATCTATACCATTGTTTGTAGACGCTATAACTTTCACACAAAGCAATCAATATACACTTACTGGGATTTTTGTAACCAAAAACATGTAGCAGAATATATTTTGGCCTAAATTTATGATGAAATTTTAGGGTTTTTTTGGATATTTTTTATGACCGAAATGAGAAAATATGTTTTTGCAAAAAAATTTTTTTTCTTCAAAACTTTTTCTGATTATAGCGCCAAAAATAAAAAGTGCACAGGTGATCAAATACCACCAAAAGAAAGCTCTATTTGTGTGAAAAAAGGAGATAAATTTCATTTATGTACCATATTGCATGACCGCGCAATTGTCAGTTAAACTAGCGCAGCACTGTATAGCAAAAAAATGGCATAAATTGCAGTATCTATACCATAGTTTGTAGACACTATAACTTTCACACAAAGCAATCAATATACACTTATTGGGATTTTTTTTACCAAAAACATGTAGCAGAATACATTTTGGCCTAAATTTATAACTAACTTTGAGTTTACTATATATTTTTTAAAGCTGAAAGTAAAAAATATAATTTTTCTTCAAAATGTTTGGGTTTTTTTGTTTATAGCGTGAAAAATAAAAAGCGCACAGGTGATCAAATACTACCGAAAGAAAGTTCTATTTGTGTGAAAAAAAGAACGTAAATTTTGTTTGGGTGCAGCATTGCATGACCGTGTAATTATCAGTTGAATTAGTGCAGCGCCCGAGTAGCAAAAAGAGGCCTGGTCCGGAAGGGGGGTAAATTCTCCGGAGGGCAAGTAGTTAAGGAGAGGATGAATGGGGCCATTTATTGTGAGATTTTGAGCAACAACCTCCTTCCCTCAGTCAGAGCATTGACGATGGGTCATGGCTGGGTCTTCCAACATGACAACAACCCGAAGCACACAGCCAGGATAACCAAGGAGTGGCTCCGTAAGAAGCATATAAAGGTTCTGGAGTGGCCTAGCCAGTCTCCAGACCTAAATCCAATAGAACATCTTTGGAGGGAGCTGAAACTCCGTGTTGCTCAGCGACAGCCCCGAAACCTGACAGATCTAGAGGAGATCTGTGTGGAGGAGTGGGCCAAAATCCCTGTTGCAGTGTGTGCAAACCTGGTCAAGAACTACAGGAAACGTTTGACCTCTGTAATTGCAAACAAAGGCTTCTGTACCAAATATTAACACTGATTTTCTCAGTTGTTCAAATACTTATGTTCAGCAGTGCAAGATAAATAAATTATTTAAAAATCAAACAATGTGATTTCCTGAATTTTTTTTTAAATTCTGTCTCTCAGAGTGGGAATGCACCTACAATGTGAATTTCAGACCTCCCCATGATTTCTAAGTGGGAGAACTTGCAAAATCGCAGGGTGTTCAAATACTTCTGTTCCTCACTGTATATATATTATTATATATATATATTAGTTTATAAAATCATTATTACTAATGTAATGTGGCCAATAAGGTACAATATGGCCACAGAAAACCAACAAATGTGGTAATCAAATGTGGGGGTAGATATATAGTATATCTATATACAGTACAGAGGAGTGGATTAGTATAAAGGACACGTGGTATTGAGTTGGTATATTGTATACCTATACACAAAATGTGGATAATACATTGTCTGTATAAAAAAGATGTTGATTGCAAAATATTAAATAATCAAACACATAAAATCATAAAGTTTAGTAAGAAACTTAAATAAAAAATTTAAATACAGTATATAAAAAATGTTAGGCTTTGGCACCATATTATAAAGTTGTCCTGTAAGAGCATTTTTTTTTGATAATGGTAATAGTACTTATGGTTCATAGTATTATAAGGGTAGTGAAGGATTTTTGTATAGGCATGGATCCATGTCGTTTTTAACAGATACATGATAATAATTTTAATATTTCCTCTCCTGGTCATTTATATATACATTTTATGAATTTAAGGACATTTTATGCGGTAAAGCATGCTTGTTATACTCACTGTGGAACCTAAGGGGTTAATCATTGTGCAAAAAGGCTGTTTGATCCTGTCTTCTCTGATCCTCCCCTTCTACTGTCCTGAATACATCTGCTAGGGAGTCACGTTGCACATGCTCAATTTAGTGTGTTTTGCTACAGATTTTTTTCTATCTTTGGGGGGGTGCATGTGATCAGTACAGGGCCAATCAGCACTGTACATACAGGTCAGGGGTCATGCAGCCTCATAGGACAGTAAGAGGAGAATGAAAAATCCTCCTACAAGCTTTGACCAGTGTTTAGCTGGACACTGATAGAAGTCACTACTACTATATACCGCTGATGAGAAAAGGTATTTAGCAGTTTATATTTGCTACAATAATTGCATTTACATGTTCTGTGTACTGTGGAAGACCAGATATAGTGAATGCAGGGTCCTGGGTTTAGTACCACTTTAATGCCTAAACACAATTTTGCAACTTTAACATGTGTTAGTAAAATCATACATATCATCACAGCTACTTTGTGTATCCAGGTGTAATATACCTTGGTTCTTTTCAAGACAAATTGTGTTTTCTTTTGGTGGTAAATAGATATCTCCTGATGTTTTATTATCAAAGGAAAACTGGCCCAAAATAGTAAAAAAAATTGTTTTAAATATGGCTGTATATTTCTTGCTACTACCATAACCTACCACCAAAGAACAACCCAGAACAAATTCTTCTGCTCCTGATTGTAGGGATATTGTAATTTTATTTATATATATATATATATATATATATATATATATAGTTGTGTTCAAAATAATAGCAGTCAGACATCACTAACCTGATCAATCACTGTTTTTGGTAGAAATGATATTTCTACATGGCAAATAATTTACTAGCAGGTGTAGTAGAGTAATAGAAATCCAACAGACCCAACATTCATGACATGCATGCTGCTGATTCTGTGTAATTGAATCACTAATTGAAAGGGGCATGTTCAAAATAATAGCAGTGTAGAGTTCTATTAGTGAGGTCATTCATTCTTTGAAAAACAGGTGGTAATTATTGCCTTATTATTAACCACCTGCCGACCGCAGATAGCCGAATGACGGCTACACTGCGGTCGGCCAGTTCTGGGAGGGCATCATATGACGTCCTCCCAGAACGTGCTCTCCTGCACGCCCTGGGGGCATGCACCCCGGCGATCTCTGTGATCGCTGTGTCCTACGGACACAGCTGATCACATGATGTGGTAAAAGGCCAATCACAGCGGCCTTTTACTACGTGATCAGCCGTGTCCAATGACATGGTGATCACTGGGAAATGCAATTGCCGGTTCTCAGCTGCACTTTCCTCACGCTGTCAGAGTGCGAGGAAAGTACTGCCGAGAACCGGCAGTTGTCAGAGCAAGGATCGGCACCGATCATCAGGGCACTGATGATCAGTGCCCTGATGATCGGTGCCCAGCAGTGCCACCCACCAGTTGCCCAGCAGTGCCCCACCTGTGCCCAGCAGTGCACCCACCTGTGCCTAGCAGTGCGCCCACCTGTGCCCAGCAGTGCACCCACCTGTGCCACCCAGCAGTGCCACACACCTGTGCCCAGAAGTGCCACCTACCTGTGCCCAGCAGTGCCACCCACCTGTGCCCACTCACATGTGTCCACCAGTGCCACCCACCTGTGCCCACCAGTGCCACCCACCAGTGCCACCCAGCAGTGCCACCTACCTTTGCCCAGCAGTGCCACCCACCTGTGCCCACCACATGTGCCCACCCACCTGTGCTGCCCACCAGTGCCGCCCACCAGTGCCCATCAGTGCAGCCTAGCAGTGCTGCCAGTCAGTGCCACCAGTCAGTGCCCAGTGGTTGTGCCAGTCAGTGCCCAACAGTTGTGCCAGTCAATGCCTAGCAGTGCCACCAGTCAGTGCCCAGTGGTTGTGCCAGTCAGTGCCCAACAGTTGTGCCAGTCAATGCCTAGCAGTGCCACCAGTCAGTGCCCAGCAGTGATGCCAGTCAGTGCCACCTATCAGTGCTGTCTATCAGTGCCTACCTATCAGTGCCGCCTATCCGTGCGACCTCATTAGTGCTGCCTATCAGTGCTGCCTATCAGTTCCCATCAGTGCTGCCTATCAGTGCCCATCAGTGCCGCCTATTAGTGCCCATCAGTGCTGCCTCATCAACGCACATCAGTGAAGGAGAAAAATTACCTGTTTGAAAAATGTTATAATAGAAGCAAAGAAACTTTTTTTTTTTTTTAATTTTGTGCACTTTTTTTTGTTTATAGCGCAAAAAGTAAAGTGCCCAGCGGGGATTAAATACCACCAAAAGAATGCTCTATTTGTGAGAAAAAATGATAAAAATTTCATATGGGTACAATCTTGCATGACTGCGCAATTGTCATTCAAAGTGCGACAGCGCTGAAAGCTGAAAATTGGCCTGGGCAGGAAGGGGATATAAGTGCCGGTAGGCAAGTGGTTAAGGAAGGAAGGCAGCAAATGTTGTACATGTTGGTTACAGTGCATTTCTCTCTGAAATTCGGAGGAAAATGGGTCGTTCCAGACATTGTTCAGAAGAACAGCGTACCTTGATTAAAACGTTGATTGGAGAGGGGAAAACATATAAAGAAGTGCAGAAAATGATAGGCTGCTCAGCTAAAATGATTGCAAATGCTTTAAAATGGCAACCAAATCCTGAAAGACGTGGAAGAAAGCGAAAAACTACGATTCGTATGGATAGAAGAATAGCTAAAATGGCAAGGACTCAGCCAACAATCAGCTCCAGGAAGATCAAAGAAGGTCTAAAGTTACCTGTGAGTACTGTTACAATTAGAAGACGCCTATGTGAAGCCAAGCTATCTGCAAGAAGCCCCTGCAAAGTCCCACTGTTGAAAAAAAGACATGTGCTGAAGAGGTTACAATTTGCCAAAGAGCACATTGACTGGCCTAAAGAGAAATGGCGCAACATTTTGTGGACTGATGAAAGTAAGATTGTTCTTTTTGGGTCTAGTGGCCAGAGAAAGTTTGTCAGACGACCCCCAAACACTGAATTCAAGCCACAGTACACTGTGAAGACAGTGAAGCATGGTTGAGCAAGCATCATGATATGGGGATGTTTCTCATACTACGGTGTTGGGCCTATTTATCGCATACCAGGGATCATGGATCAGTTTGAATACATCAGAATACTTGAAGAGGTCATGCTGCCTTATGCTGAAGAGGAAATGCCCTTGAAATGGGTGTTCCAACAAGACAACGACCCCAAACACACCAGTAAACGTGCAACATCTTGGTTCCAGACCGACAAGATTGACGTTATGGAGTGGCCAGCCCAATCCCCGGATCTTAATCCAATAGAAAACTTGTGGGGTGAAATCAAAAATGCAGTTTCTGAGGCAAAACCAAGAAATAAAGAACTGTGGAATGTAGTCCAATCATCCTGGGCTGGAATACCTGTTCGCAGGTGCCAGAAGTTGGTTGACTCCATGCAACACAGATGTACAGCAGTTCTCAGAAACAGTGCTTATACAACTAAATATTAATTAAGTGATTCAAAGGAAAGCAAAATCTTCAAACATTTTTCAGTTCATATAGTGAATGTTTGAGTTTGTAAAGAAGAATACAAACACTGCTATTTTTTTGAACAGTCTAATATTCACTTTTCTTCAATTTTTTTAGAGGAACACAAATTTGATATATTTTTCTTCATGATTTGAAATAGAATGTGTAGTGTTCCCAATGCATTTGTGTGTATGGAAATAAAAGCTATTAGAAGGATTTTGAGCTTTATTCACTTTTTTCTACACACTGCTATTATTTTGAACACAACTGTATATATATATATATATATATATATATATATATATATATGTATGTATGTGGTGTATTCTAGGACTGAGCTAGATGTATTTTACACAACAAAATACATAGCCAAGGACTCTTTGCTATGTTAATTTTATGCATGATCACCTTGGCACTCTCAAATTTCAAAGGAGGTGCTTTCCAAACTTGCAAGGGTAATAAAATGCAGATTGATCAGTCAGAATTAAGTATGGTAAATAGAATTCTTGTTTATCTAATTGATGGTAAAAGAATGCTATTTAGGACTTTTGGTAGAATTTATGACTGCATCTGTCCAAGCCCAAAAGGCATTATCTGTCACCCAGAAGATCAAACATGTTTTGTCAGCCAATCAGAAGAGCTTCTTCCTGTCGTTAATATAGAAGCACAGCTATAGATCATAACTCACGTTCTTAAGTGGGACTCTGAGGGCTGTTGTTCGTTGTAATATTTACAAGTATTCAGCTGGATTTCTGTCATCTGTAACAAATATCTTTATCTGAATAAATGCATCTCTCTGGAAAAGAACTGTTAAACTAGTTGCTGTGGGAAGGTACACTTATAAATATATACACTTGTCATCCGTCCTCCTTTATTAATATAAGACAACACTGATGATCGCAGAAATACTACATATGTGTATGTTATTTGTTGTTTGTACCCGTAGGAAAGCCCAGTAACAATACTGCACTTTTTTTCATCCTACCTAAAACGCCGTGACACTGACACTGATACTACTTTTAAAATGCTTTTTTAAAACAAAATCCTGTCCAAAACTTACTGTTCATGACCTTTGACCCTGACCTTGCCTTTACCTGACACAAACACTAGCCCTGGCTCTAACCTAGATCTAATATTGATTTAATTAATATTTTCTTTTTTTTTTTTTTCCCCTTTTTTTTTAACTACACACTTTTGTTTACATTCTCCCTGCATGAGAGAAACAATGTTTATCTTCCCCATGTTATTATACTCACAAGGTAAAAGAGCACATGTAGACCCAGAAGTGCTGCCTCGGCGTGCATTCCACAGACCAGAAGTGATGTCATCAGAAGCCCAGGCAGGGCTTCCGGTAATGTCACATCCAGGCACGGAGCACACGCTGAGGTGGCACGTTCGGGTCTTTTACCTTTTTAAATGTGAGTGTAATGATATTTCTTTTCTATTAATACATTTTTATACTACACTATGGCAGCTTCTCCTCTTGTCCGCCTATATTTTATTTGAGCACTTTTAAGCCTCTATGAGGAGCATATTCAGCACTGTGGCTTGGAAAACCAGAGGACAGCAGTTAAGGAGTAGAAAGGCTGGAAACCACTAGTGACACCCGGGAGGGTGATATCCAAAGGCGTGGTTGACCCATACACTGTAAAGCAAAAGAGTTAATTATCTCTGGTGAGTACGGGAGTCCAGGGGAGTTTCTTTGCATTGAAATACACAGATGAATGTACTGTACAGTTGCAAGAAAAAGTATGTGAACCCCTTGGGATTACGTAGAGTTTTGCATGAATTGGGCATAAAATGTGCTCTGAACGTCATCTAAGTCACAACAATAGAAGAACACAGTCTGCTGAACATAATACTACACAAACATTAGATGTTGCCATGGTTGAATTGCACATAACATGTAAACATTCACAGTGCAGGGAGGAAAAAGTATGTGAGGCCCTAGCTTAATGACTAATCCCAGAGCTAATTGGAGCCAGGAGTGAGCCAACCTTGACTCCAATCAGTGTGATGATATTGGATGTGTTTTGCTGACAGCTGTCCTGCCCTTAAAAAACACACACATGTTTTGGGTTTACTGGTTTCAAGAAGCACTGTCTGATGTGAACCATGCCTCGCAGAAAAGAGCTCTCAGAAGACCTACGATCAAGAATTGTTGACTTGCATGAAGCTGGAAAGGGTTACAAAAGCATCTCCAAAAGCCTTGATGTTCATGTGTCCATGGTAAGACAGACTGTCTACAAATGGAGAAAGTTTAGCACTGTTGCTACTCTCCCTAGGCGTGGTCGTCCTGTAAAAATGACTGCAAGAGCACAGCGCAGAATGCTGCATGAGGTAAAGAAGAATCCCAGAGTGTCAGCTAAGGACCTACAGAAATCTCTGGCACATGCTAACATTTTTGTTGACACATCTACAATAAGGAAAACATTAAACAAGAATGGAGTACATGGGAGGACACCACGGAGGAAGCCATTGCTGTCCAAAAAGAATATTGCAGCACGTTTGAAGTTTGCAAAAGAGCACCTGGATGTTCCACAGCACTACTGGTAAAAATATACTGTGGACAGATGAAACCAAGATTGAGTTGTTTGGGAAGAACACACAACACTTTGTGTGGAGAAAAAAAGGCACAGCATACCAACATCAAAACCTCATCCCCACTGTAAAACATGGCGGAGGGAGCATCATGGTTTGGGGCTGCTTTGCTGCCTCAGGGCCTGGACGGATTGTTGTCATTGATGGGAAAATGAATTCCAGAGTTTATCAAGACATTTTGCAGGAAAACGTACGACCATCTGTCCACCAACTGAAGCTCCGCAGAGGATGGGTGATGCAACAGGACAATGACCCAAAGAATACAAGTAATTCAACAAAACAATGGCTGCAACAGCACAGAATACGCCTTCTGGAGTGGCCCAGTCAGAGTCCTGACCTCAACCCGAATGAAATGCTGTGGCATGACCTTAAGAGAACGATTCACACCAGACATCCCAAGAATATTGCTACACTGAAACAGTTTTTTGAAGAGGAGTGGTCCAAAATTACTCAAGATCGTTGTGCAGGTCTGATCTGCAACTAGAGGAAACGTTTGGTTGAGGTTATTGCTGCCAAAGGAGGGTCAACCAGTTATTAAGTTCAAAGGT